AAATAAAATTTTTAAAAAATAAATAAAAATTTTTTGAAATTTCTCATGTTAATTTTTTTCCATAATTTTATTGAGAAACAAATAGCAATGAGAAAGTTTCAAACCAAATTGGTAGGACAGTTTCAATAATTAACACATTGCATACACTCATGTTATTTTTTAATCATCTGTACATTCATCTTTAAAAAAAAACATAGTATAAGCATTTATTGACAGTTTTGAATCAATGGTTTTCAAATCTGACCAAATGTTAGAACTTTAAATTACATAAAAGGGGGCCTGCCCCTTAGCTCAGTTAAGTGGCTGCTTCGACAAAGCAGTCAGGCTCAGGTTGCTGTATTCGATCTCCACAACTCCAGCCAGCCAAACCTGCCCTGAAGGCATTCAGAGCAAAATAAATAAATAAATAACATAAAAAACGAACTTTAGGCTCCAATTCAAAATCAATTAAAACAGAATTTCTGGGGCTAAAGCCCAGGGATATGTTTTTAAAGAGGTTCTCAAGTGATTCAAATGTACAATCAGGTTGGGTGTGCTGGCACACTACTATTTTCGCAGCACTCAGGAGGCTGAGGTAGGAAGATCCTTACAATTTTGAGACCAGGTAGATAGGCTACAATGTGAGCTCAATGACAGATTAAATTGCACATTTAGACCCTATCTCTAAAAGACAAAAAAAAAAAGAAAGTACAGCCAGGGTTAAAAATCACTATTCATGATGTAATGTCTCATGTTCTCTAAAAAATGTATTAAGTAAATTTCTCACACACCAGCATCAAGGAGAAAAGTTTTTTTTTTTTTTTTAATCATTTATTTATTTATTTGGTATAGGATCTCACTATGCAGCTCTGACTCATAGTGATATTCCTTTCTCAGCCTCCCCAGGGTTGGGATTACAGGTATATGCCACCATACCTGGTTTCAGTGGCCGCCAAGGTATGCCCAGGGTCCTGGGGCAGGTACAGCATGCAGTACCAGGAATCAAACCTGGGTCCTTGTGCTTGCCAGGCAGATGCTTAGACCGCTGAGCTAACTCCCCAGCCCAGAAAATGTTTTAATATTCACAAGCATTCTATTTTTAAGACTTGAGAAACATTAGCATAATTCTCAGGAAAAATAACTTTAATTTATTTATCAAGTATAAAATAAAACATATCTAACATCCCATACCTGTATTATTTTATCAGCTTATACTGGCATACTATTTACAGTTGACAAAATGTTTTATCTAAATTCACTGATTTTTTTTTTTTTTTTCTTTTTGAGATAGGGTCTTGCTATGCAGCTCAGGCTGGCCTTGAGCTCCATTTGTAGTCCAGGTTGGTCTCGAACTCTCAATGATCCTCCTGCCTCAGCCTCTGGAGGGCTGGAATTATAGGATGCACCATCACGCCCAGTCCATCAGTGATTTTTATAACAACCTTAATGAGGTAGGACATATACAACTATTAATCACCTCTTAAGAAGAAAATGAAATTCAAAGCCTTTTTTTCTTTTTTTTTTCCGCAGAACCCAGGATTAAACTCAAGCCCCTGCACTTGTCAGGCAAGTGCTTTTCTACTGAGCTATCTCCCTGGCCCTCAAAGCCATTTAAATTATTTGTCAAAGTCATTGTGCTGGAAAAAGTCTAAGTCAAAAATAAGACTTAGTCTCCACCTGCCATGCTGGCACCGGCCCCGTGCCTGGGTGTGCTGAGACAGCAATTTAGACTGGGCGTGGTGGTATGCCTGTAATCCCAGCTCTTGGGAGGCTGTAAACAGGTGGATCACTACAAGTCCAATCTAGTAATGAGACCCTAAACACTCTGTAGATCCTTCATTAAAATAAAAAAAAAAAAAAAAGAATAAAACCTAGGTTTTTTTTCTGACCCCCTGATCAAATTCCAACCCCCCCAGGAGATTTGGCCCAAAACACACCTCGGTTCTGATTCCAGTCATGGGCATCACCAAGCTGATTAACATTATACCTGTACCCATCTTGATGGTGAAAATAGTCATCAGTGCTGAACACAATACCATCACGACTCTGACCAAGCAGAATTCTGTTAATAAAAGAAACCATAAATATTATAATTTATAAAAATTGATAGCCACCAAAAATGCACCACCTAGAAAAGGTTATTTACAAAAATTTTTAGTACTTATCCTTAAGTAATGTGCATTACAAACAGAATAGCACAGGAGTTGAATAACCTTAAAAAAACTCTCAAGTTTCAAATATCAGTTCATACTTAAATTTCACAATTATAGCCACGATTACAAACTTTTTAAGTGAACATTATTCTTCTACTTTATAAAAAGTACTTTTTATCCAACCCCAAACCAATGCTAACTATTATTCATGTTCTAATTGTAATGTGTATGTATTTGTTGTTTAAGTAGCCTCAATTTGGTGCAACAGGAAACCTAGAAAAGAAAATTCAGTGAGCAATTCATCTGGAAGAAACCATATTTGACCAAATACAGTCTGGAAATTCGTTTCAATGAAGCACAAAGATAACATGACCCACAGAGTCAGAAATAGATGCAGATGTAAGGTTATGAAACATGGTTTGGGGATATAGCTCAGTAGCACAGCACCTGCCTTGCAAGCACGAGGTCCTGAGTTCAATTCCTGATACAAAAAAAAAAAAAAAAAAAAACTTAAAAAAACAAAAAAGGTTATGGAACAACCTGTGATCTTCCAAAGTATAATCAAACGTTGAGGTTTTAAAAATTAAATAACCTAATGAAACTAAGCACAGAACACCAAATGAAAAATAAATTCTCAGATCAACATAATCAAACTTTGTTTTTAAAATATCATCTTAAATTTCAGAGCATGGCATGTTCACAGCATCAGAGAAGTCCCACAACCAATGACTCAAGAAAGAGAACAGAAGTGTGCTAAGGGAAACTGCAGTAACAATTTAGATTCAACAAAAACTATCTCACTGTTTTCACTCCTGTCCCTGAGAACAGTATTAAGTGTATATGATTTCATAACTGTGAAAAGTTTGGAGGGTGGATGATTGGTAGTAGAAGAGATTAAAAGAAAAAACTTGTCCTGGGATAATTCAAGAATACTTAGTACTTAGTACTTCCTACTAAACAGTAATAATAAGGAATTCAACTGCATATTAGGATAACAAATATCTTTCCTTCTTAGAATTCATAATAAAAATGTATGAAAAAAATTTAAATGCATATTCACACTTACAGAACTATAGTTCAAAATAGTTCAAACAAACCAAATGAAAGTTATCAGTTTGGGCTATCTGCTTCTTTTGGATTTCAGTTAAGCAGCCATGATTTTCCCAAAATATATCTAACATTTTGGACACCATATTAGATTAAACACACAACCTAGAACATTAAAAAAAAAAAAAAAAAGCCATAATATTAGCATTCTAAATCAGAGGTCAATCACCCAAAAAATGATTTTGATCATAACTAACCATGACATTATATTAAACAGTACCAGAAATCTAAAAAGTATATTTCCCAATGTCTGATCCCCTCTTTGTTGTCATTTTATTTTATTTTATTTTATTTTGAGACGGGATCTCAGCAAGTCACTAAAATGCTCAGGCTGGCCCAGACTTGCCATGCTCCTGCCTCATGCTCCCCCAAGAAGCCAGGATTACAGATGTGCCACATTACACATGGTTTAAGTAGCTCTGCTTCATCCCAAATCCCCCCCCCCCCCCCCGTACTTCTTTTGGTTCCTCTCGCCCTGCTGCTATGGGACCAGCTCCTGCTCTTTTGGCCCTCCTGGGAGTCAAAAACTTCTGGGGGTGTCAAAGTCACACCCTACTTGTCACCAAGCCATGAGGACTGTTGTGGACTCCTCCACAGCAAGGGAAAGGAAAAGCATCCTGGGGGAGGGACACACAGCACAGACAGACCCCGGTAACTATCCTTCTCAGATTGCCGTAAGGACCTAGTTCTCAAAGAGTCTGGCCAAGCTCAGGCAGCCAAAGGCTTCTCTCCACTGCTTGGTTCAGAAACAAAAGGACAGCTCTCACATCCACGGTGTGCTACCATTTCTCACCCAGGGTTAGCAGGTGATTTTTAAGATACCATTTTACATAAGTATAGTTTTTATAAACAAAACATGGTTTAAATTCTCCAAATTAAAAAAAAAAAAAAGATGGAGAGGCTAAATTGATGTTTATCATCAAACCAGGTCAACATCAAAAATGAATAAATCTCCTTAAAGAAAAAAAATCTTTTCTTGTGGTATTTGGGATTTAAGGCCTTCATCCTGAGCTATATCCTCGTCTCCCACCTTTTTTCTGAAGACAAGACGTTGTTAAATCAGTAAGTTGCCCAGGCTGAGCTCAAACTTCTTATCCTCCTGCCTCAGTTACACAGACTGCTGGGATCATAAATGATCCTGGCCTAATCTGCCTGGCTCAAGACCATCTCTTCAAATATGTGATATGGCCCAAAAAAATGGTGAATGTTTACATTTTTAAAACTTTATTACAATAAAAAATACATTGCCATGTCATGTATCCTCAAATAATATTCTTTGTTTCAAACAATTATCCCATTGTTCTTACCACTTTCTGGAGTAGTTTTGAATGACCCTTTTTAAATGTCAGTAGTTAGGCTGTAGTAGCTGCCTTGAAGCCTTGAACTACCTGAAGTAGTTCAAAACATTTACCATTTATGGTCACTTGACCCTGGGGAAGAGCCAAAAATCACAGTGACAGAAACAATGAATAACATGGATGAGATTTTTATGACCCTGCAATGAGCTAGTCCAGCAGCACATAAATTAAAAATTAGCCTGCCTTTCTGAAGGATGACACTCAGCATCAGCATTCACTATATTTTTTGTCATACCTCATAAAGCCATTCATGAAACAGGACTTCCAGAACTGCTTCAGAAAGTGGCAAGATGCATCTGTAATCTCAGTGCAGACTGCCCAAGTTCAAGGCCAAGCTAGGCTACATAGTGAGCTCAAAGCCAGCCTAAAGTACATAGTCATACTCTCAACAAAACAAATGGCAAGAATGGGATAAGTGTATTTAAAGCAAATGGGTATGTGAGAGTATGTTGGGGAAAATTAATGGCAATGTATATAAATATGTATAATCATGTATACTTCAATCACTCCTTCGATATAAATTATAACTACAGTAAATAAGTTTCGTTTGGAGAGACTTTTTCCACAAAGATTTTGACTGTATTTTTTCCAAGTTTATCTTAAATTACATATCTTTGGGGCAGAGGAGATGGCACAGGTATGCAATGCCTGCCTGACAAGTACGAGTTCCTGAGTTTGATTCTGGTACCAAAAACAAAAACAAAAACAAAACAAAACAAAACAAAAAACAAAAAACAAAAAAAAACAGATGGAAGCTCAGTGATTTTTTTTTTCAAACAATATCTATTTTTCGAGAACCTAATATGTGCCAAGCATTTTATATACATAGGTGACTTCATTTAACCCTCAAAACAACTATCACTATGTTGAGCTGTGGGGGACTCAGGTCAGTAATTTCTGACATTGCCAGTTAAACAGAAGACCCAATGCTATTATGGTCTACTGGACTCTTTTAAAATATTTTGCTGAGTTTACACACCTATAATATTCAATAACGGAACTTAGAAAAAATAAGGTATACAGATGAATGTCCATTTTGTATCTGTGTATTCAAAGTGGTTAGGATAGATATATAGTTGCATTCTCTTAATGAATAGAATGATTTGTTCTAATGGTGTTTGTAAATAGGATCTCAAGTCCGCATCTTGTACAGCAATTAACCACTAAGAAGAATATATGCAGTGTGTTATTTGTTGAAACTGTATTTCCGATTTGATTTGAAACTGTCTCATTGCTGTTTATCAATAAAATTTTGAAAAAAAAAAAAAAGAAAAAAAAACCAACTATCACAGTTTGATATATTTAGGAAAGAAAATAATTTCCAAAATGATGCCACTAGTTACAGAGATTGTAGTGGAAAAGTAAAGATAATGATTCTGATCATCTATAAGAATCCTTGCCTCACGGTAGCCTCAGCCTTGCAAAATTCCTTCCCTTGTAATGACTGGCTGGCTTTAGTCACTAGTTTCTAAGGAACAGAATATGGCACAGACGATGGGATGTCACTTCCATGATTACGAAAAGAAAAAAATCTGTTTTAACCTCATCTTCGTGTGTATTCTTGTACACTTTGGAAGATACAGTACTGTCACATGGAGAGAGGCCCAATAGCCTCCAGCTTCCAAAAACAAGGTTTAAACACATTCAGATTCCTAAGAAACTATAAAGCAACTTTTTTGCATGCACATGAATACCTAATGCACTCTGTGTTTATAATTTCCCACATAAGTAATAGGTAGGCCTTGTTCCCAAGAAAAGGCTTACAGAAAAGTTCATTTTAGTTTTCTAAAATTCCTATGAATTGCATATCATTTTACTATATTCATATGCATTTAAAATTGGAAATGAAGGGCTGGGGAGATAGCTCAGTAGAATAAGTGCCTGCCTGGCAAGCACAGGATCCTGAATTCAATCCCCAGTACCAAAAAAAAAGGAAATGATGTCACAGAAAGAGCAACAATACTTCATAAACCCTTCACCTCCTTATTTACTGAGTAGCTTTGCATATCTGTAATCTGTTATATCCAGCACTTCATGCTCTAAACACTCCTTGAGGGGGCTTGAGGGTTAGCTCAGCTGTTTAAGCGCCTGCTGTGGCAAACCCAGTCAGGCTCAGGGGACAGCGGTTCGATCCCCAGCTCCCCATACCTTACCAGACCCGCCCTTGCCTGAGCCAGCCAAAAAAAAGAAAAAGAAAATCTAAACACTAGTTGAATTAAGAAGAACCTAAATAAGGAAAGTAAATCTTACTTTTGACTTTAAACTAAGCACTCCCTCCTCTAAATGAGGGAAAAAAAATCTCTTCCATATCTCTTAAAACAATGGTAAGTATATTATCAGTCCTATGCCTGCTATAACTAATTACCACAAGCTTGATAGTTTAAAACAAAAGACTTTTACCATTCTTTAAGTCTGAGGGCTAGTAACCCAAAATTATATTCACCCGGCTAAAGACAAGATGTGTACAGGCCTGGATTCCTATTGAACTCAAAAGTGAATCCCCCCACAGCCCCTGGCCCCTCAACTTCTAGCTGCTAAGTGCACATCTTAGTTTATGGGTCCTGCAAGCAATAAGACAAAGCTACCAATGCAGCATCTTTCCTCTAACTCATGCTTCTGTCTTTATATCTCTTTCTGATTCTCATCTTCTGAGGCTTATTAAGAACCTTTGTAATTATGTTGGCCCCATCTAGATAACCCAAAATAATCACCTCATCAAAAGATCAACTTAGTCACATCTCCAAGTCTCTTCTACCTCATAAAGTAACATGTACAGGTTTTAGAGATTAGACATGGGCATCTATTAGAAGCTATTATTCAGCCTATTCTGCTATAGCCCCAAAGAAACTCAAAAAAAGCAATAAATACACCATTATGTTCTTTTACCTTTTCTTTTTATAAAACTAATCTTTTATGCATCTGGAATTTATTTCTGTGAATTATCTATGACAGGTTTTATATGTTTTCTTCTAAACTCATAGTCAAACGTATAATTATCATTTACTGTATTAAATCTTCCAACTGATATAAAATGCTATTCCAATATATGCTACATACACAAAATTTTCTTATTATCTAGGCTTGTTTTTCTTGAATTCTCTAATTTTATTTGTCTGTTCTGCCAAAGTTGTAATTGGTTAAGTTCACTTTGAAAGACAGTGGGATGACTCTTAACTCTTTAAAATTGCCCGATACATGTGTAAACCAAACTAACTTTAGAATGGCTTATCAAAACTCATGGAATTTGTATTAGTTAGGGGGAGCAAAATATCACATCGTTATTGGGTTTTCCATTTTACTGTGTTATCCTATACACAAACATGCTAGGACCAAAACTATTTACAGTTGGTTCTCCAGACCCACAGGTTTGCCATTTGAGGACTCAACTAAGTGGAAGTAGAAAACATTTTTTTTTTTTAAATGTTATCTTTATGCTGATGTATACTGTGGAGTTAGGCTTAATGTGGTTGTATCTGTATTGAATAGGTTTGCTTTTTTCTTATCATTTAAACAATACAATATACCAGCAACAACATTTTACATAATATTTACACTGAATTGGGTATTACCCCATGTTATCCAGGGGACTTGAGTATCCAACAGCACAGACTACTACTTTTCCCAGAACCATCAGCAAAGATGTTTGGGGCATTTACTACATTGAAGGCGGTGTGGTCTTGGAAAGAACAGGGGGTTCTGAGCTAGCTCTTGATTTCTAAAATTCTAGGTGTAGCTCTTAGAAGAAAATGTAATCTGGGATAAATTCATCAAACTATTCTGTATCCTCATCTATAAAGTGGGAAGTTAGTACCCACCTCTTTTAAAGACAGTGTCTCTGCATTTAACAGGCACACAATAAATATAGGTATTATTGTCAAGACTGGTTCTCTGTTTACAATCTAGATGACTAGATTTAAGGTATACTGAATGAAATTATAATATTTTAAACAATATTTTAGCACAGTATGAGATCATTTGCATCATTTAAGCTATATCCTAAGCAGTTACCTATGTAAAGAAATCATAGCAAGACCAGATAGTCTTGCTAATTAAGCACACTGCATATTCTCTAAAGGGGGCTATGAAAAGTTATTTTTTATCTCCGATCAACTCCAGACATTTTGCTAATAATGAAATTAATGATCTGCTTCTGAAAATAAACTTTCATTGATATAATTAGAGTATAAGAAATGTAGACTAAATAAAATACTTAAATCCCTTCCCCTATCTTCTCATGAATAGTGTAAGAATCTTTATAGTCTATTTCAGGGGGAGAACCCAAAGTTTGATTTCTAAATGGTTCTGTGTATAATCACGAGGCCAAAAGATTGTTTGTCTGATGCTAACTAAAATGGTAACAAACTTCTATCAATCTTTCATCAAAATACTGTCAGGGTGCCTTAAGGGACAAAAAGCTGGCACTTACTTGAATATATTTGTGCAGTTGTGAAAAATAGCTCCTGGAAGCAATACTAATTCTTTGCAGTTATGTAGGATTTATGCCACAAGAAGAAAATTCATTTGGTATCTTTAGGTTAGAAATTGTTTTGCAATTTTATATTTACTTGAGAAAAGATTTAAATCTAAACAAAAATTTCTTCAGAAAAAAAATAAAAATTTAATTTATAATATAAGCATGTCAAGCCAGATTATAAATTATGATCACTGAATTTAAATTTTGGCCTTTGAAATTTTATTCCTCCTTAGTGAGGATTTTTTTTTTTAAAGTTTCAATTGTACTTTAGTTCTTCAATATGCCATATTTTAATGGATACATAGCACTTTTACTTGACACCAATTATGATTTCATTTAGAAATACAGCTGTATCTGTGTATTCAAAGTGGTTAGGATAGATATATAGTTACATTCTCTTAATGAATAGAGGGATTTGTTCTAATGGTGTTTGTAAATAAGATATCATGTCCAAATCTTGTACAGCAATTAACCACTAGGAAAAATGTATGCAATGTGTTAATTATTGAAACTGTCCTACCAACTTGATTTGAAACTGTCTCATTGCTATTTGTTTCTCAATAAAATTATGGAAAAAAAATACAGCTGTAGCATATCAGCTGGCATGATTACTGATCTCTCCATTCCTTGGGCGTGACTCTGCCAACAGGGTAAAGGTTCTTTCCATTCTATTACAATTTGTGTTGCTGAAGATCCATGCAGCAATACAGAATGTGGTTCCACCAACTAATATAGCATTACCATATTTGTCATGGAAATCAGGTGTATGTTTCTGGTGGCTCTGCCTTGCTACCATCTGTTGAATGCTTGGAACTGGAAAACAATCTAATGCTTTTTTGGCCAAAGGAAATATCATGGAGCTGAAGTTGAAACTAGTTACTGCAACTGCTTATTTTCAAGGATCTTATAAACATGATAAAATTTCAACTCTTTTAGAGTGAGGCTGCTTCATAAACGTGGGACAGTCTTCTGAAGTTAGTATATAAACAGAAAATATATACTGAAGATAAATACTGAAATTTGGAAACTAGGTCAAGGGGTCTGATAGGACTATTTGACTAGAAGTAAGTGTAGAACACAATATAAGAAATGTTAGGTTTAAGACAATATATTGGAAGATGTTGAAACTGCAACTGGATAAAGTAGTGGTAATTCAATAGAATTTCAAGATTTAATTGTAGTGGGATGGTACATAACTATAATCCCTACACTGGGGAGAATGAGGCAAGTGGATCGGTGCAAGTTCCAGGCCAGCATGGGTTATAAAGTGAGCTCAAGGCCAGCCTGAACTACATAGAAATCCCACCTCCAAAAAGAAAAAGAAAAATTATAGTGAAAGATAAGGGTGATTATAGTAATAAATTTATTTGAGGACTATCTATGCTATTTAAGAATAAAAATGTATTTCCAACTATTTCTATTTGCATTTTAAGTCACGATTTTAAAGTACTTTAATATATAAAAATATTGTGATATGAGTTGCATTTTCATTTTATAGAAACTGCAGACATAGTTCAGCAGCACAAGCACCTTCCTGGCAAGCCCAAAGTCCTGAGTGATTCTTAGTACCAAAAAAAAACAAAAAACTTCATCTCATCGAATCAACAGTGTCTTACTTTTCTCTCCTTGCTGAGACAAAACACCCAGTGCTCAAACTTAAGAAGAAAGGTTCATTTAGCTCATGGTCTGTGAGTTTTCAGTCCATTAATCAGCTGGTTGAAAGGCAGGGTAGGACGGCAGAGGGGCAATTCATGGTAATGGTAGTGGAAGACAGCAAAACCAACAAGGGCAAAAATCAGAAAAAGCAAGCCTCTTTTCCTCCCTTATATTGTAAACAGGCCACCACCACCCCTGGGGCAGGGGGGTTGGTGTAGCTCTCATACCATCTCCATGCCCTCCTTTGGAACAGGCTCAGGATGATAACAAAGTGAGGATCCTGGCCCTCTTTTGCTTGCCTTCAACATCTAAACTTCTCAAGTTGACACAATGTATCAATCATTATAAATAGCTACAGAAAACAGTTCAGTTTAACTCAGAAGTTACAAAAAACAGAGATAAGCTAATAAAAATGAGTGTTTTTCATATACTTTCATTCAAGGATATGAACATGACACAGTACTAATTAAATTAACATTTTCAAAATTCCTTTGAGCTGTCAAAATAATTCCAGAAAAATTAGTATCATTCATTCAAAGCAGGCAGCCAACCATGCCCAAGGTCACAAAGTGAAACAACTAAATCAAAACCCAATCCTGAAATTAAATCCAACTTTTCTCAAATAGCTCACCTAATAAGAAAGATTAGCAAAGCCCTCAAGCTGCATTTGTGTTTATTACTGTCATAATTACAAATGGTATATCTATTTTTAAAGACCTTAACACAATCTAAACAGAAACACATACAATTCTTCCCTCTCACTCAGAAAATATCTTTTCAAAATAGCCAGGCATGATGGCCCACACTTGTAATCCCAACATTAAGAAGGCTGAGGCAGAAGGATCACGGTGAGGTGTAGACTAACCTGGTCAACCAAATAAGTTTGAGGCCAGCCTAAACTGCATAGTGAAACCTTGTCTCAAAAGACCAAAAAAATCCCAAAGTATTTACACTGTCAAGTGCCACTCTTAAATACTGTACGATATTCTCTTCTAGCACTTGAGGGCTGGGGATAAAAGTCAAGAGGCACAGCGCTTGCCTGGTAAGCACAAGGTTCTGAGTTCTACTCCCACTGTCCCCCTCCCCAAAAGAAATGAGAGTAAAAACTTGAAAGCATTTGTCACTAAACACAAATCATTTATGATTTTTAGATAAAAATCACCAAGCATTTACTTGGTATATTTTACTTACCGAGACAATGTGGTTTTCCCAGAACCTGGCAGACCTCTTAAAAGAATAAGTAATTTCTGTAACTTATTTAACTTTTCTTCTTGTAACTGTTGGTTTATAAAACTGTCCATTCCATCATGCTTGTCTATAGGAGGCTCTTTCCAGCTTCCGTCCTTGATTTCATGTAAACCACTATTCATATAGCCATCCTGCCCACTACAGCCATTTCTAGGGGTATAAACAATACTGCTATTCCCACTATAGTCAGTATATTCATTGTTCTGATCAAAAGTCAAAGAATTCCAGTTCATATGACAACTATTTACAGCATATCCATTTTGAATCTGATAGTCACCTTGAGCATGGAAAATATTTGGTGATGGACTTGGTGGAGCACTCAATCTTTGAATATTTAAATGATAGTTAAAACTAGGAAGAGGGGGACCATAGGGCACAATGAAGGAATGCAACGATTCCTGTTCTGGCCTGAAAGAAGTGAATGAAGTATCACAAAATGTAGGTATTACTTGTCCATCACAGCCATATTTGCCTGGTTCACTGCCCAAGTACTGCTGATAACCACAGTGTGACTGAGGAACAATATTAGGATCTTTACTTGCATCATCACATTTTAAGACATCATTATTATAGCCCTCATAATATGAAGTAAATTGTTCCTGAGAAGGTTCGAATTCCTTCCAATTGACTTCAGAATTGTCTTTTTCATTTTCAAGTTCTTCGATTTCTTTGTAAAACTGTGATAATTCAGTGTCAATCTCTAATTTTTTGGTGTTGAATTTCCGTTTCTTCTCTTGTCTTCCTTTGCCATTTGTACCACTGAGAGTGTCTGTTTCATTCCACCTTTCATTACTTTTTTTTTTCCCAGGGGGTTTGTAAATAGGTCCTATAAATGCTTTACTTGTACTATATATTTCATCATCTGTTGATACTAATGGAGGTTTTCCATCTTGTAAAATTTGTGAACCAGTGGATTCAACAACATCTAATCTACTACAAGGCATCTCATTATGCAAAGGTTTCTGTAAATCTGTAGCTTGGGTTTTGTCCTCTTGAAGAAAATTAACACTGCCATGATGTGGGAAAATACAAGCTTCCGCAGCTGATTTCAATTTTTTATAGCGTGGTTCATTTGTTAGTTCTTTCCCAGGTCCCAAGAACTTAGCTTCAACTTTACCACAAGGCATCTGAGGAGTAAACAAATCACACGATTAATACTTCTTCATAAATAATTAGAAAAACAATTCAATTTTTCAAGTAATAGTAACATCTCCCAAAATACTAAAGTCAAATTGTATTCTTTCTAGGCTAAGTGTGGTGGTGCACTCCTCAAGGCTTGGTCGTGTGGTGTGTGGTACGGTGAGGCAGGGGATCACTGTGAGTTTCAGTCCAAACTGGGCTACATTCTGAGACCCTGTCTCAAAAAAAAAGTGTAATTTTATAACTACTTATTTAAGTATTGTCATAACATTCATAAATGTGTCTCACCTAAGTTAATACCCTTTTTAAAAAGTATCTTTTGACAAATTAAGAACTTCAGTTTGGAAAACTGAGTTAATGATACCTATTCTGATGATACAGATACACAATTGTCTATGAAAGAATAAAACTGCCAAGCAAATTAACTTATATGCTAGTTTATAGCTAAACTAACTATGATAAACATTTTCCTGTTTAAAATTACTAGGTCTTTTGGTTTATATGGTTCAAATTTCTAGCTTACAACAACCATATTATCTCCAGCATCCAAATGTTACATTCACTGAAATGCATGCAGTCTTTGCTGGCCCTTTTCCTTTTAGGTGCAAGAGCAGTTCCCACATGGCTACAATGTGGCAATTTGGGGTTTTTTGTTTTTTATTTTGGCGGAACCGGGTATTGAACTCAGACCCTTGCGCTTGCCAGGGAAGCGCTTATTTCACTGAGCCCTCTCCCCGGCCCTCAATGTGGCAATTTCAAAGAAACTAAGTCGCACTGACAACGTGAATGTATTATACTCACCAAAGAAATCTGGCAATTACCCAAAATCAAAGCATTTGGCTTTCCCAGCTGATTAGTCTATCTCACAAAATAAATTTTCGTTTTTCTTGAAATGTATTAGGAAGACTCAAGAGTATAATCCAAAAGCCTGTTGTGCTCAATGTTATTTCATTGTGTCTGGTCTCTGGTGTTGCTCTCCAACACGAAGAAAGAGGAATGGGCAATACTAGTGATGAACTAGTGATGGATGCGGGAAAGCTAAACGAAGCTGCAACTGTGGAGAACACCTCCCACCTCCGAAAATCGTCCCCCACCTCGGCCACCTCTCAGCTTTCATTTCCTCATGCAAAAAGTCAGAAGAGTCCCGGGGAAGAGCAAGAGTGTGTCACCACTGCGTGGCCTACACACAACCTAGACTTCAGGCACGGCGTGACCTCCAAAGTAAGCTGCTTGGATACGAGTGCGCTGCCCACTTTCTATGACCCAACAGGGATTCGGGTCCTGTCTAGGAATTCTGAGGTGTCCGAGACTCAGAGACTCACTCAGCGTCTAGGAAAGTGGGTGAGAATCCCAGTCACCGAAGGCCAAAGGAAACCGAAAACACCAACTCACCCCCACTACAATGGGCCGTCTACTCACCTTCTATGACCTTTATCTCGCCAAAAAAAATTTTTTTCTCCTACAAGACAAAAATCTCTGTGAAAGTGAAAGAAACACTCAAATAGCACCAGAGCAGAGAGTTGGAAGAACCAAACGCCTAGCCGTCAGACTCCGAGGCAACAAGCCGCACCTCCGTACGCAAGATGGCGACCACCTCACGGGTACCCCGGCAGAAATTACGAATTTGCGCTAGGCTTTATGGGAATTGAAGTCTTGCGTTCACATTGGCCTTGGGAATCTCGCTACACGGAGACTCGGTCTCCCAGAATCCATGGTGTGACATACCGCCTATTCGGCAAAACGTAGGCCGGAAGTAGCTCTTCGAGCTGTAGCTGGAAAGTTGCTTAGGAGCCCAAACTTTAGTTTAAATAAGAAAGAAAAAAAAAAAAAAAAATGGAGCCTCTGGATCAGGTGTTGCACTAAAAGAAGGGAAAATGAGTACCTAGCATTGCTAAATAGATGTAGAAACTTCTCGCAGTATATGAATTTCCGGCTTTCCAGGAGACAAAGAATCAGCTAACTTCAAGAGGACTCAGCTTGTCCAATTGCAGAGTTAGATAGCACAGTTTTTTAAAAAACTCCAGGCTTAATTTTTAGGCTCATGCTTTCTGTTAAAGGAGAGAAGCCATGCAGCAGAGGGACTCCATAACCAATAAAAACACTTACAGGAAAAATCATTTAGTGTCTTTTGTTTGGGTTAATAAAGACAAATTCTTGACCAACAGTCATGTGAAACGTATTTAAAACTGGGAGCTTGTGGTAGGAATAAGTGTTTGCTAAATTAATAAATACCAATGAATTACTGGCAATCCTAAATTGAAGAAGGCTTTTCTCTTCCATCTCCCACTCCTGTTAGACTGGCTTTGCTCCACTCCCAATTCTTTTGTGTCCCTACAAGGAAAACCGGATCTATGGAAATAATTCTCTAGGGAAACTAACATGATAATTTTTAATTTGCAAACGTAGTAGTGTAAAATTACAGTCTAACATTTATACTCACTTAAGTAATACTACTGTGACCAAGAAGGCTCATAGGAGCAATTTACCATCAAACAAAATTCCTCAAATATAAATTTCCACTGCAACTTTGAAACAACTATGGAAGTGAGGTTGTGGTCTTTTCAGGGTATTACCTCTGAGGTCACAGGATGGCTGTAAATTTTTGTTTGTTTGTCTTGTCTTTTTGAGACAGTGTAGTGGATTGCCGACTGGTGGTTAATTTCTTAAACCCAACTGAGTTGAACTGGCCTGGTGCTAGGTGCGGGAAACCCACTTGAAGATTGTTGCCAACAGCATAAAAGGCACAGCTGTGGGGCTGGGGAAATAGCTCAGTAGAATAAATGCTTGCCTGGCAAGTGCAAGGCCCTGAATTCAATCCCCGGTACCAAAAAAAAAAAAAAGGCTCAACTGAGAAGCTGCTGGGCTGCTGGAAGGCTGTTAGAGAAGCTGTTTGGGAAGCTTCTGGTTCTCTTGGACTATTTCTGCTGGAGGACCTTGTCATGCTGGCTTTTCTGATGAACTTGGCTGTTCTTGTTGGAGAGGGATCTGGAACCTCATTGTCACTGGGAATGACTACAGTTCATCTTGGGGGCACTCTGGTCCTCATCCTGAGCATGCTTCCTGGCTCCAGAGGGAAAGATGGTGTACTACTCAGCCTTGTGGAAAAGCTTGTCACATTGACTTTCCTGATAGGAATGTAGATCTTGTTGCAGGAGCTCAAGATCTCACTGTTGCTGATGATGGCTGTGGTACTTCTCAGGAGAGCTCTGGTTCTTACCGTGGGTGTTGCTTCTCAACTCCAGTTCAGATCACTCAGCCTGCTAGCACAGATCCTTTCTCCCCCTAGCATAGACTTTTTGGTTTCCACCACTGACATTTGGGCCTTTCTAATGCAGATTTGTGAAGCAGGCCTTCATGAGACATTGTTGTGAGCTCTAGATCTTGTGAGAGGCATTGTTGTGGACTCTCGGTTTTCAGCTGGATTCATGTAGGATATTAGGATCCAGGCCTTCAGCTGGATTCTTTGATTTATTGTGTGGATGGATTTCCTGCACTCTCCTATATGATTTTTTGATTATAAAATAATCTTATACAGGGGCCAGGGAAAACTAACAGGTAACCTGCTGGAATATAAGGGACAGAAAGAAAGCAGTTGCCATCTCTTGTTGCTGCTCCTTCACTACATCACTGCTTTGCTGTTTTCCATCTGCTGTGAACTGTTTCTCCTCTGTGATGCCCCTCTTCTATGTTACCCTACCTTAGAGCCAGCCAGCCAACTATGAACCAACAAACTGCAAGCTACAATAAACTCTTCCTCCTTTAACATTGTGTCAGGTATTTTGTCTTTGCAACAAGAAAAGTAACTAAACCATAAAGATCTATACTATCTCTTTATGTTCTCCCCCCCTCCCCTCTGTTCCTGCCACCCTCTAAATGGTGAAGTGGTGGTTTGAAGCAAATATAATCCCTCCATCTCCTTAGAGCTAGCTTTGAATACATCCTTTCTCCTTTTACCCAAAGGCATGACCTGCTTTGATTTGGTCAGAGGCAAGTGGAAAAACTAACTGGCTGGTAACAATTTCTGTTTCAGGATCTTCTTATGATTGAAAATGTCCTGAAAAGTCTCACATGTTCAGAGGTGGGGCTATTGGAAGGTGATTGACTCATGAGGGACTATCTCATCAGTGAATTAATCCAATGATGAGTTCATACCTGAATGTGCTATTAGGAGGTGAGACATAGTAGGAAATAGGTCTCTGGAGTGTGACCTGGAAGAGAGTATTTCTCTCTCCAGTTCCTCCTTTGTATACAGGCTACCATGGATTAAGTAACTTTTCTCCTCCATCCCTTCCTTCATACTCTTTTTTTCCTTGGAACAAGCCAACCATAAGCAGAACTCCCTGAAACCATGAGCTAAATAAACCTCTTGTCCTTTAAATTGTGAGTGGTAGGTATTTTGTGGCAGTGATGGTAAGGTAACTAATAAAGAGGTTATCCAGAATGTTCCCTTACATTTAGTTAGCATATTTCCTTAGGCTGATTTGGCTTCCATAGTTCCTTAGACTTTACCTTTCTTTTTTAAAGAAAGAAAAGGTATAACATTTCAAAACAAAATTGTAAGAGAATAATAATGGTTAGTGCATTGTGTATTGTTATCTTCAAAGTAGTTGTTCATATCACAAGATATAGGCATGAAAAACTGATTAAACAATGTAGGCATAAATCTTTCTTTTTCAAGGAACTAATATATCTTTTCCTTTTCCCTCCCTTCTTTTCTTCTTTTCCTCATTCTAGTTTCTCATTCTTTTTGTACAATAATATCTATTGTACATTTTGGATCATATATGCTCTTTCAGTTTCTTACATTAGGGAGACAATGCAATGTTCACATATGTGAGTCTGATTTATTTCATTATTTTACTTGTTAGTATGCTCTCTAGTTGCTTCCATGTCCCTTCTAAATGTCTCAAGTTTATCCTTCTTTATAGTGGAGTTTTACTCCACTATATAAAAATACCACACCTTTTTTTATCCATTCCTCAGTTGATGGGTATTTGGGTTGTTTCTAAGATTACCTAAGATTGAGCTGGAGAGATAGCTCAGTGGACTAAGTGCCTGCTTAGGAAAGCTCATGGGCAGGGGTTTGATCTCTGGCACCACATGTTGTGCTGGCCCCTCCCATGGGCAAGCTGAGCCAGCTATCGAATTCGGGCATGTTGGCACACACCTGTAATTCCAGGGCTGGCAGGCTGAAAACAGGAGGACCAGTGTGAGTCTGAGCCGAATAGTGAAACCCTGTACCAAATACATTTAAAAAAAAAAAAAAAAAAAGATTTATCTAAGACAAACATGGATGCACATATATCGCTGTGATATCATTTTTTCAGTTCTTCTCAAAAAATACCCAGGAGGGGAATAGCTGTGTTGAACGGGACCTCTAATCCTAGCTTTTTTTTTTTAATTTTTAATTAATTATTTATTTATGTGTGTGTGTGTGTGTGTGTGTGTGTGTGGCCAGCTCAGCCCACCAGAGGGCGGGGCTGGCTGGCATGTGGTGCTGGGGATTGAACCGTGGTCCCTGTGTTTTGCTTGGCTTAGCTTGTTCTAAGTAGGTGCTCTAGACCACTGAGCCATCTCACCAGCCCTAATCCTAGCTTTTTGAGGAATCATTATCATTAACAATGTAGGATTTCTTTCTTTTCCCACAGCCTCGTCATTCCTTGTTATTACTTGATTTCTTGATGAAACTCATTTTAAAGAGTTTTGGAAAGGGCCAGCCAGATAGCTTAGCAGACTAAAGCATCTGCTTAGGCAGAGCGCAGCAGCCTGGGTTCAATCATCAGTGTGCCGTGCCAGCCCTGCCCCTGGGGCACGCTGACACAGTGAATGAGACTGGGCATGGTAGTGTGCACCTATAATCTCAGCATTTGTAAAACTGAAAACAGGAGAATCACCACAAGTCTGATCTGTGTAGTAAGACCCTCAAGGCCCTGTACTATATATATATATATATATATATATATATATAATTTTTAAACAAATAAAAAAATAATTTTGGAGACCAGGCCTTACTATGCAGAGCAGACTGGCCTTGAACTCACGTAGCCCAGGCTGGCCTCAAACTCACAGTGATCCTTCTGCCTCAGCATCCCAAATACAGGTGAACTTAACTGGGAATACAGGTGCACTTAACTGGGCTGGGTTTAGCCATTCTTTCTTGAGGAAAATGCAATCTGAGTGAGAATTGATTGCTAAAGGTAAATTAAATCCATGACTTAGAAATGAGTCCCATTCTGGGAGAATGTTTGTAAGTCAGAGTCATTCTTTAGTCTGACAAAGTGAGTCTTATATACCTTTAACACAAATATACAATGTAAAGCATTAAAAAAAAACCAACACAGACACAAATACTGTAAGTAAACTCTTTTTACTTTTATAATTAAAATGGTAAGGTAGACATGAGCTACTTCTGAGATTTGTTTGTGTCTATGAATATTTATAGTGCAAGGTCTGTTCATATCTGTGAAAGTTTGCAACTTGAATATTCATAAGTCACAAAGGACCTAGGCAGAGTGCAGCAGCTTCCTTTTAAGCATTGTGACAATGCACAGCTTCCTTTAAAGCATTCATCTTTTTTTATTACCAACAGTTGA